CTGTTCGAGGGGAGAACCTTTCGTGAAAAAACTAAACACCGATATTGTGTCAACTTGATTTGCCCACCTTTTCATTTTTCCAAGGCCCTGGTTTCGGACAATTTTCTTTCAGCCACTGACTAGGTTTACTAAGCGGTCGAATGGAACTGGTCGGATTATGTGACGAGTCCGAACGAGGTATTGGGGCGAGTGTGTGCAGAAAAGGGCCCGCGGATTCGACAGGGTCCGCAGTTCGAGGAGCGGATGGAACGATTCGCGGACAAGGGCGACGACCCAGACCGGAGTCGAATTGGTTGGCCGTTGGTCTAACTGTTGAATTACGTGCTTCCAAACCAGACTGATGTGCTGTGTGCGTGGAATTGTAAAACAAAAGATTGAGCATGAAAAGATGTAAGACTGGATTTGCACCGATTGTTACAAATCGATGCAGCATTAGAGTTAAAAAGTTCAACAACTATAATTTTGTAACTGAACAAGTCACTGATACCCAAATAATGATGCACTGTTATAAGCGCAATGGCTTGCTTACCCACCAAAAAATTTCGGGCGAGAAGGAGTATTATTATATACACATTATTAACCACAAGGAGACAACTGTAGTTTCACTCGCTGTCACTGGCATGCTCCGGAGTCTGAGATCCCAGACTCTAGACCACTGTTGCCACTGTTGTCAAGCTTCGGTGATACAAGCAGTATTGCTGTAACCTAACCTACCGCGGTTCAAGCTCTTTGACTAAGGTTATCCTTTCGCATAACCGATCAGTGTGGGTGCCATTAAAAATGGATATCACACCCCCTATGGTGTGTACGTTATAACCGCACGGAACTGTCCCGATATTAGATTCTCTTATGATCGTCTTTCTACAACGCCTTTTGTCCAGATAGCGAATTCACAGGTAGTAAAATAGAACACAACTGGAAGCATGTAGGAATTCATTTACCATGCAAAAGCATGGTTATTTCCAGAGAAGAATGAAAATGTGGGCGTGCATATAGATTAGACTGTGGTAAACCGTCTTGATTGATTTTCAGTTCCGATCAATCATTTGAGTTCGGTTATCCTTGATCTGGTTGGTTATCCTATAACAACGCAATTATCAGGGAGTATGCTGACTCCCCAACGGTATACATATATTTATCAATTTTGTATCACATCGCTTTGTACCTATTGGAATAGACTTCTCGCTTTGAATGACGCATTAAACGAGAGTAAGCAGATTATAGATAGTCGGCATGTTGAACTGATTCTGCAATATCGCATCAAGCGGGGGCGAGAGAAACCTCAGGCTATACTGGCGAGAAAACGGTTAAATTATTTCAGGAAATCAGGACTGGTGATTTTGTACAAGCGATATCAAGTGACTGAGAGAGAAAAGATCCATGAAATGAAGCAGATGTGAAGCAGGAAATGACTGTCCGGATATTTAAGGTTAGTTCTTAGAGAAGAAAGCGAGGAGAAAGAGCGAGTGGGGAATATGACGATGACGACGACAACAAACGGTCTGCGCAGATAATTACAATACAAAAATAAAGTGGGAGGGGGATTTGGGGTTTACATGCACACACGCGCAGTGAACGAATCACGAAGAACACATCAAAACCTGGCCGGGAGAAAGAATAGCCGTCTCTCCACCGGCCATATGATTTTCACAGCTGTAATTTGAATTTTATGAAGAACACATGGATGAGCAACAGCGTATCTGCTTCAATTTTCACGCGCAATTTCCAATCGTCTCCATTCCAACATAAAACATAAATGATTGGTCGGAATACCACCATTTATTGCAAAACGAAGACGACAATGGCAAACGATTCTGAAACATTGCTGTGAAAATCAAATATAAGCGTACGAGTCGAGCGTATGTGCGAAAAGACCAGGTCTAGGTTGCACACAAATCAACACTACTTTCAGTGGTGTGGTAACATGCACACGTATAGTACCTTGATTTTGACCGACCAACATGATTCATATGTGATCACTGCGCTAAATCCTGGGTACAACGCACTCGAGAAGCACTAAACCAGAATTTCGTGCGCCCGTAACGATGCAATATTTGAGTTCCGACCCCGGGAATGGAAGGAATGCGTGTTACTACTTAGCCGATCCTATCGG